GTCTTGTTCCAGATTTTAGAGGGAATGCCTTCAATTTTTCTCTGTTCAGAATGATGCTAGCCTGAGGCTTAGCATAGATAGCTTTTACAATATTGAGGTATGTTCCTGTTATCCCTAGTTTTTCTAGAGTTTTGAACATAAAGGGATGCTGTACTTTGTCTAATGCTTTTTCTGCATCTATCGAGATGATCATATGGTTCTTATCTTTAAGTCTATTGATGTGGTGAATAACATTTCTTGTAGAAATAGAGAAAGCAATCATGAAATTCATATGGAAAAATAAAAGACCCAGAATAGCAAAAACAACTCTAAGCAGGAAGTGTGAATCAGGCAGTATAGTGATACCAGACTTCAAACTATACTACAGAGCAATAGTAACAAAAACAGCATGGTACTGGTTCCAAAACAGGCGGGTGGACCAATGGTACAGAATAGAGGACACAGAAAACAATCCACAAAACTACAACTATCTTATATTTGATAAAGGGGCTAAAAGCATGCAATGGAGGAAGGATAGCATCTTCAACAAATGGTGCTGGGAAAACTGGAAATCCATATGCAACAAAATGAAACTGAATCCCTTTCTCTCACCATGCACAAAAGTTAACTCAAAATGGATCAAGGAGCTTGATATCAAATCAGAGACACGCCGTCTGATAGAAGAAAAAGTTGGCTACGATCTACATACTGTGGGGTTGGGCTCCAAATTCCTCAATAGGACACCCATAGCACAAAAGTTAATAACTAGAATCAACAAATGGGACTTACTCAAGCTAAAAAGTTTTTTCTCAGCAAAAGAAACAATAATAGAGGTAAATAGGGAGCCTACATCCTGGGAACAAATCTTTACTCCTCACACTTCAGATAGAGCCCTAATATCCAGAGTATACAAAGAACTCAAAAAATTAAACAATAAGAAAACGAATAACCCAATCAACAAATGGGCCAAGGACCTGAACAGACACTTCTCAGAGGAGGACATACAATCAATCAACAAGTACATGAAAAAATGCTCACCATCTCTAGCAGTCAGAGAAATGCAAATCAAAACCACCCTAAGATACCATCTCACTCCAGTAAGATTGGCAGCCATTATGAAGTCAAACAACAACAAGTGCTGGCGAGGATGTGGGGAAAAGGGTACACTTGTACATTGCTGGTGGGACTGCAAATTGGTGCGGCCAATTTGGAAAGCAGTATGGAGATTTCTTGGAAAGCTGGGAATGGAACCACCATTTGACCCAGCTATTCCCCTTCTTGGTCTATTCCCTAAAGACCTAAAAAGAGCATACTACAGGGACACTGCTACATCGATGTTCATAGCAGCACAATTCACAATAGCAAGACTGTGGAACCAACCTAGATGCCCTTCAATAAACGAATGGATAAAAAAAATGTGGCTTTTATACACAATGGAGTATTACTCTGCATTAAAAAATGACAAAATCATAGAATTTGCAGGGAAATGGATGGCATTAGAGCAGATTATGCTAAGTGAAGCTAGCCAATCCCTAAAAAACAAATGCCAAATGTCTTCTTTGATATAAGGAGAGTAACTAAGAACAGAGTAGGGAGGAAGAGCATGAGAAGAAGATTAACATTAAACTGGGATGAGAGGTGGGAGGGAAAGGGAGAGAGAAGGGAAATTGCATGGAAATGGAAGGAGACCCTCAGGGTTATACAAAATTACATACAAGAGGAAGTGAGGGGAAAGGAAAATAAAAAAAAAAAAAACAAGGGAGAGAAATGAATTACAGTAGATGGGGTAGAGAGAGAAGAGGGGAGGGGAGGGGAAGGGAGGGGGTATAGTAGAGGATAGGAAAGGCAGCAGAATACAACAGTCACTAGTATGGCAATATGTAAATCAGTGGATGTGTAATCGATGTGATTCTGCAATCTGTATACGGGGTAAAAATGGGATTTCATAACCCACTTGAATCAAATGTATGAAATATGATATGTCTAGAACTATGTAATGTTTTGATCAACCAACAATAAAAATTTTAAAAAAATAAAAAATAAAAGCAATGGAGCCAGCCAACCATTGACAAACACTCTGAAACTGAGCCAAGGATGAATCTCTCCTTCCTAAAGCTGATTTTTTCAGGGACTTTGTCACAGTGACTGAAAGCTAACTAACACACTGAGCATGTGGTATATCACTGTGCAGTGAAAGAACAGCAAAGTCTGGCTGTGTACTAAGTCTTAGATACTGAGATACAACATGCACAAAAGATACACAGCTGTGTAGCCTTGATTCCCTTTTTTTTGTCTTTTCTGGATTGTACAGGGCTTCATGACATGGATTATAAGGGGACAGCAGGTTATTCTTCTAAAGAAGTCAGCCCATTGACATGGAAGAAACCCAGAGTATATTGGTCTACATTAAAAAAAATGAGGCAGAAAATACTTGGTCAGATTCAGTCAAGCAATAAGGAAGAAAATATACCAGTAATAAAACCACTAGAATGCATCTTGGTCAATTATTTTGGCAAAGCTACTTTCATTTTAATGACTTAGAGCATGTTATAAAATGCTAGCAAATGAGACATTGTGTACTTTGCAAAAGTAATGAAGTCTTAGATCAAAAATATGACACCATATTATTAACTTTTGAAGGGTGAAATAAGTGACCTGCTTTGTTCTCTTTAAAGAGTATCAACTGGGAGATTAGTAAATCCTTCTACATTATCTTCTCCTAGCAAGGAGTGGTGGAGGTAAGTAGAGATAGGAAAGATTATTCCCAAATCCCTCACTTCCAACTACTGGGAATCACTTGTTGCTATGGTAACCATGTTACTGTAAGACCATTGTGATATAAGCAGGACAATAAGCATCAAAACCTATTAATAGCTTTAGGTTTAGAAATAATTCTTAGCATTCTTTTTTTTTTCTCCTTTGCTTTCAAACAATAGCCTGGATGATAACAAGTTATATTGAAAGGACAATGTAAATGCAAATCAACTAAAATAATTCTTGCCAAACTTTCCTACTTATTCAGTCAGAATCAATATAGGTACTAGATTTCAGAGAGAAATTCCTGAGTGGAAACATCTATAGTAGGGGCTGGCAAAGTATACAGCCTCCAGGCCAAATTTGGCCCACCATCTGCTTCTGTACCTCCTACGAGCTAAGAATTATTTTTACATTTTCAAATGGTTGAAAAAAAAAGGGGTGAGGCTGGAGGAGTAACTCAGTGGCAGAGCTCTTGACAACTAAGTACAAGGCTCTGGGTTCAATTACCAGTACCACACAAAGAAAAAAAAAATAAAAAGTAATATTTTGTGATGCCTGAAAATTATATGAAATTCACATTTCAACCTCAAAATAATGATTTTTTGAAGTACAGTCATGTACATTTATTTACATATTGCCTGCTTTTGTGTTACAACAGCAGAGTTGAATAATTGTGACAAATCATTGGCCTACAAAGCCTTAAATATTTTCAGTTTATTCCTTTACAGGGAAAGTTTGCCAACCTCTGATCTAGAGACACGGATTGTATGAGAGAAGTTATATTAGGAGGCCAAGTGTCTCTTCCTTGTCAAGAAGCACTTGCAGGAGTGCTTTTGTTGGGAACTCGGGTTTTCCCAAGATCTTTTGCTTGTTTCATCGACTGCTGCATGTAGGAGACCAAGGAGAATATTACCTGTAATGGTTTAAATTGTTCATGTCCCCTCCAAAATTCATGTTGAAACTTAATCCCCAATGCAAGAGTATTATTAAGAGGTGATGCCTTTTAGGAACATATTAGGCCATGGGGATTCCACCCTCAAGAATGGGTTTAGAGACTTTATAAAAGGTCCCGGGGGAAATAGCTAGTCCCCTTTGCCCTTAGGTCCAAAGTATCATCTTGGAAGCAGAAACTGATCCCTCACTAGACAGCAAACCTGATCAAGCCTTGATCTTGACTTCCCAGCCTCCATAACAGGGAACAACAAATTTATACTGTTTGCAAATTACCCAGTCTTAGGGGTTTTGCTACAGTAGCACAAAAGGACTAAGAGAATTTGGTATGAGGAACTGGGGTATTGCTATAACAATTACTTGAAAATATGAACATAGCTTTGAAACTGGATGGTAAGTATAGTTGAACTACAAAGTGTCATTCTAGCAAAGGCTTGGAGGAAGAGGAAAGCTATAGAAAGAACTTCGGTCTTAAGAGATAATCTAAGTGGTTATGAACAGAACACTGGGTAGAAATACAGACAGTAGGGACTATTTTGATAACAGTCTATGGGGAAAGTAAGGATGTTGTTATTGGAAACTGGAGGAAAGGCTATCCTATTATAAAGTAACAAAGAATCCAGCTGAATTGTGCCCATGTTCTACAGCATTTTGGAAGGCAGAACTTGCCAGTGATGAAGTAGGGTATTTAGCAGAAGAAATCTCTAAGCAAAGTGTTGAAAGTTTTGCATGGTTTCTCTTGAGTGCTAACAGTTAATTATGAGAGAATACCAAAGGTGCGGTCAAGCTGATATTTGGTAAGGAGATATGTGTGGGGACAATGAAGCCAGGTGCTATTCATCGAGACAATGGAAGAGTGATCCCAAGGCTGCTATTCCATCACAGGCTCAGAGTGCCAGGCCTTGAAGATGGAATGGTGTCAAAGGAGGGGCCGAGGGCATGCATGGGATCTTGGGTCTTACTGCCCAGCACTGCCTCAAGTTTCTGCTCCGTGTATTTGAACACAGTTCCCTTTTGCCCTTCTACCCTTGTGAGGAACAGCAACAAGGCACCATTGTGGAAGCAGAGAGAGCCAGGCATCACCAAACATGGAAACCACTGGCACCTTGATCTCGAACTTTCCTGCCTCCAAAACTGTGAGAAGTAAATTTGTGTGTTTTTTTTTTTTTTGTTGTTGTTCATTGTCCAGTATCAAGCATTTTGTCCTAACAGCCAAAAGGGACTAAGACAGCACTGCATGACTCAATCTCACACGCTTGGTCAATTTGTTCTAATGCTGCTCTGTGACAGGGATCAGGCAACATGCCACTCACTCCCTCATGTGCTGCATCTTGGTCCTGGCCATCGCGCTGTTGAAGATAGCTGGTCCTGGAGACATGTCTGCAGCCATGCTGGTAATGGTCCTTGTGTCTGAAAATCAATCACAGCCCTTATTACTTCATCAGCACTCCTGCAACCTCAAGGAGATGTTCAAGGGCAATCAGAAAACAGAAGCTAATACACCTTTGCCACAGGTAATACTACATTAATTAGAAATGAATTCAATTATAACATGCACATTAAGGAGATTTATTCCAAATGATAAGATTATTTACAGTTTCAATATGCCCAAGGAATTGCAGGACCAAGCCTCTCTCAAAAAGGTATGCTAAAATTAAACAGAAAATCATTATTTAAGAGATGAACTTTTTATACTAGAAACCTCAGAGGGAAATGTATTTACAGATAAGCAGACATTCTTGGGGAGCCTTTAGCCATTCTCTTTTAGCAGGTATAGATATTTATTTAAATAACTAGGAACTTTTCTAATAAACTTAGTTTTTCTTTATGATAATTTTACATTTGACCATTAGTTTTTTAAAATATTTTTAGTTATAGATGGACACATTACTTTTATTTTATTTTATTTATTTTTTATGTGATGCTGCTGATCAAACCCAGTGCCTCACATGTGCTAGGCAAGCTGCTCTATTACTGAGCTACAACCCCAGCCCAGACCATTAGTTTTTTTTTTTTTTTACAATGGAAAGCAGAATGCTGACCAGCAAGTCATCTGAAGCCTTGAAATGTAGCAGAGTAGAGTCGAAGGCCAAAGTTAGGTTGAGAAGATAAGGAGTTGTTTGTTAGTGAAAGGTGAGGTGTTATGAAATCTGCTGAGAGATACAAGTTTTCCGGAGACATCCTAGAGGCCCTCAGAAAACATGTTGGGATTCCAGGGAAAGAAACAGACCACTAACTGAAGCAGCACTGCTTTCCATTAAGAATGGAACCTGAACTGGAGTCCCAGCTACTCAGGGGCTGGGGTAGAAGGATTGCAAGTTGAAGGTCAGCCTTGGAAATGAGTGAGACCCTGGCTCAGTGGTGGATGAGCCAGGGTGTGATGCCCTAGATTGTCTCCAGTACTGGAAAAGGAAAGAAGGAAGGAAAGGGGGAAAGAGAAAAAAGAAAAAAGAGAAAGAAAGAGAGAAAGAAACTAAACCTGCCCTGTGAATGAGGGCTTGGTGTAATCCAAAGAGCTCAGCCTAAAATTCAGTCCTTGTGCTCCTGGAGCTGGGGGCAGAGCCCTTCCTGGGCATTCCTCTCCTTAGATCTCCCACAAGGGGCCTCAGACCTCATCAGCAAAAGTCTTGGAGCACAGGGCTCTCACTCACACACCAGGTTTAATTTCTTTCTTTCTCTTTCTCTCTAAATTATATAAATTTATAAATTATATCCATGCAGTGCTACATCAGAGAAGAGACCCATACTGTGAAATTCCTGCTCTTTATTCAATGGATCTCATATAACACTGTCTGACTTAGAGACCAACCATGGAAGCTAGAGTCAGTCCCCATTTTACATATTAGTAAAGGATTTTATTCTCTCACATTTTTAAATGTGAAAAATCAAATACTAATTTCTAATACCTCTTCCTTTTGCATATCCCCTGAAGGGATGCATTCCACTTTGAACTTCTTGCTTTTACTGATACCATTTAGATGACTATTATGCTGCTTAAACTTTGTAAAAATCCTTGAATCTCCTCAGGCTAAATCCCTAGGCTAGAGCAACAAGTATGACTTTGAATTGGCATGTTACAATTAGTTAACTAAACAACCCATTCTTCTTAGTACATGACAAATTAGGCTTCCACTTTAAAGACCCAAGTCCAAAGACAAATTGATCATCTTTCTCCATACCTGGAGGGAAAACCTGCCTCAGCACTCACTGCTATTGAACAGAAGTATCATTTCAGCTCTCAACTTCCCACTAGTTCTGTCCAGAACAGCAACTTATCCCCAGGGAAGACCCATGGGGTGGGAGGAAGGCTTAGGGGTTCATTTTGTATTCATGTAGGTTGCTTTCTGTAAACATTTTGCCTGGGACCGTACCATGTCAAGTAACCCCCATGTATACTCAGAAATCAGCAATGACAAGAAGGAAAGGTAAGCACTGCTCTCCACTCTCCCAGAGAAAGCTGGCACATTCTGAACGCTTATGCAAATAAAGGTCAAAACAATTTCTAGGAGAGCTGCAGGTTATTTTAAGCTGGCCGCTGTTACCATCATAAGGCTCTCAGCATTGCTAGGAAAGATGCTAAGCATTGAACCCAAGGGTATAGAACAGGGGAAATATAATTTCAAGCAAGAGTTGGCAAAGCTTGGTGCTCAGAGCATCTCCTTTTTTAGTGTTCCTTACTGGCTAGCTTTTTGACCTCTCCATCTCACCTAATATGAATAGTGGTTGTTTTATGTCAGAGAAAAGGACAACACATTTAACAATGATAAAATAACATTTTAGGGCTAGGATGGAACCTGTCATCTGGATTGGTCACTAAATCACAAAATGTGATCTATACCATTGCTTCTCAAACTTCAATGTGAATCACCCAGGGATCTTGATAAAAAGCAAATTCTGATTTAGCTCTGGATAGAGCTGGGGATTCTCTATATCTAATAAACCTACAGGTAATACCAGTGCTACTGGTCCTGAGACCACACTGAGTAGCAAATCTCTTAGGCCAGCTACAAAACTTGTGGGATCCAGTGCGAAGTGGCCTTACAGAGCTCCTTGTTCAGAGAGCAAGAGAAAGCTGTTTTCTTTCTTCTGCATCTGTTTATAGACCTCTCATGGTGTTTTGTTTGTTTGTTGAGTATTTAATGTCCCTCTCCCTCAGGAACTAGGATTGCAGACATTCACAGCACACTGATTCTTCTCTACTTGTGCTCAAGACCCTTCTGAAGATGGAGATGGCAGTGGTCACAGGGCTGGGTTTAGGGAGGTGGTAGAGGACCCTTCCCAGGGAGGAGGCTAAACAAGAGACAGCACATCAGTAAGGCTTTAAGACCCTGACATATGTTCCACTGTACCATCAGATGTTACTCACAAATCACATATTCAAAGATAAAGTTTCATTAAGCCCCAAGGGTGGGGTCCCTCTTGAACCCAGGATCCTGTGTAACTGAACCAGTCATTTACCCATGAAAGCTTGGTTCCAGAGTTCTGCTTTTTTAAAGATTTTGCTTTAATATAGGTGAATCCTTAATTCCCAAGTTAATTTTTAAAAATTAATTTTCCCTTTACTAATTTTAAGTAAATTCTCATGAATTTGGAAAACAGTATCTATGTGTGAAACATAGACTATTTTAGGTGCACTTGTGATTTCAAGAATTTCCTACAATAACTTCACACACTCTCTCCCACCAAAGATCTAGCCATTATCTATCGACTTTTGCCTGATCTTTGCTTTTGTTCCACCTCTACCTTTTTCTGAAGAACACTGAATCCTGATATGAAGTATTCCTTAAACAGCACTTCTCTTCTTTCCATTTCCAGTCAGTAGAAGAATGTCTACTGACTATCCATCAGACAAAGCTTTTCACCAATGACAATGATGAGTTTTTAAAAAGTGATGTGTGTAGCTGTGTATGGTGGTGCATGCCTATAATCCCAGTGGTTTAGGAGGTTGATACAGGATGATCCCAAGCAACAGTCCAGCCTGATGGAACCCTGACTCAAAAAGGGTGGCAGGGGGGATGCTGGACATGTCCCTGGGTTCAATCCCCGGTTAATAAAAATAGTGTTGTATGTAAACTGACCATTCTATTCTGCCACTTGTAACTTTCTCCTACTCACTCACTGCACGTGCTGGCTGTTCCTTAGAAGGGGAGATGACCCCATTAATACATAGGAGGAATGTCCATTGCCATGCTGTCTGAGCAGAGGAGGGTGTCACTGTGCTCAGATCTCAAACCACTAACTGGCATCAGAACACTTGGGATGCAGAATTCTGAAAAGAAGGTGGTGGGAGAAAAGGTCACATGGAACAATTTGGGCATTTGCTTCCTTTTCCCCATCCCCATTACTCCCTTTCCCAGAAAAAGTGGGAACTTGAATGAAAACAGCTACCAACAGATGTCAGAATCACTGGTTCCACTGGGCTTCCTGTCAGCCAGGAAGCTTCCCACTTGCTGTTCTGCTTGGGGCCAGGCTTCCTCTAAGTCTCCTCCCATGCTCTCTGGTCACTGTCTTGGTCTGCCCCCTGCTGTCCTCCCCTTTCCTTGGTTTTATCCTCCAACTGTTCACCCACCTTTCCATCCCATGTTCCTTTGTCTTCCAGACTCAGAAGTATGAGTTTTATTTCAAGCCTTGGATCTATTTACAGTTTTTTTTTTTTTCAAACTTGATTTCTACACAAATTCACTCTGATTCCTCATTAACAACAACAACAACAAAAAACCCCAAGCCACCACTAAATCAATAATAATAACGGCTAAACCAGACCCTGGACTAAACATCTTACCTGTATTATCTCTGGTAAGGTTCCTATGAAATAGGCACTTTTTTCAGAGAGGAAAGTGAGCTATTGAGATATTAAATAACTTGCACAATGTTACACAACTGGTACATTCCATAGCTGGAACTTGAAACCAAACCTTGCTTTATTCCAGAGTCCTAGATGTTGGCCACCTGCTCTACACTGTCCAGTTGACATCATTCAGTAAATACCCACTCTACATGACCCCTGAGCTGGATGCTAGTTGAGTGAGTGGCTATTTACCACATTTTGTATTTTAATACTCTTAGTTATCAATGTCAATATCTCCCTTCACTCCCTTACCCTTTTCAACTATTTAATAAGCTCTTTGAGCATATTGAGAATGTCCTATTCCTCTTTTATAAACATTTAAATCCATTTTAAGATTAAAATTCACTGGTGTTAATTACATTGATATTGTACAATCATGACCAGTATTTCTAAAAAGTTTTTCATCATCTCAAATAGAAACTCTTTGACCATTAAATAGTAACACCTCATTTTCTCCATCTTCCTGCCCCTGGTAGTCTCTAAGCTACCTTCTGTCTTTACAGATTTGATTGTTCAAAGTACCTCATATAAGAGAATCAGACAGTATGTGACCTTTTTTATC